GTTCCCTACACGTTATGCATGTTTCTCACTACTTGGTATATTCAGCAACTGTATAAAAGAATTCCTGAAAACAGAAACCTCTAAAAAAAAAAAATCCTTAGTTTTAAAACAGCAACACAGAATTCTGGAGAATCAGCCCACAAACATGTTACAAAAACAAGCTTGTGGAGTTATACAACTCCTTCCCCCTCGGCAACACCTTATCCCTCATGTCTAAAGAGAAAAATGTATAGACGAGAAATTGTTTTCATATTATATGATGTCCCCCAAAATGTGTCATTGTTGGTCGCTTCCTCTGAGTATCAATAAAACAGCAATATTTGATCTGATACCAAACAAGGTGAAGTCCAAAGCTTCCCCTCTTGGCATTAGCAGGTTTCCACCACACACCACACAATCCCAGTGAATATTTTAATTTCTTGAAAGTGTGGGACATAAGTTTTTTCAAATATGTTTTTGGTGTATTTTGGAAGAAGTTTTACAAAGAAAAACAAGGTTTTATAATATCTTGCTCTTGCTACTGTTAAAATTTCCAAGTAGTAAGGCTTCCACCACTTCCCCGGTAGAGAATACGACAGCTTAATGCATGTTGACATCAAATTATCTCCCTAATAGCCTAAAATTATCAAATTATCAAATTATCTCCCTAATAGCCTAAATTTAATCTTAGTTCCTTTATAAGTTCTAGTTTTATAAAAGCTCTCCTTTTAGAAACTCTTAATTTTATTCTGTCTTTTATTTCTGCAAACATACTTTATTCAATTAGCATTCTCTCCTTTCCTGCTGTTCAGTTCTTATTTTAGAAATCCAGATCCCTGAAGCTCCAATTTCCAAGAAAATATGAACTACCAGTGGGTGAAACAAAATGTAAACTGGGTCTTGCAAGGCATATTTTGTAATAGAAAAATATCTTCCTCCACCTAAAAATATGTAGATGGCGTCTTCTGATTCAATGTTATTTGAAAGAACATGGGGGGCATGGGGGACCCAGGAATAGTTTGGGTCTTTTATGTTAATAACTTTTTTAATTGTTTGTCCTTGCAGTTACTAACTCTGCTTACTAATTAGCCCTAGCCCCTGTTATAGCCATAATGCATGTTTTCTCCTACTTTTTCTATCGTTAGGGAAATATTACGAACTCTGCTTTAACATGAAATCAGTTAAAATATATTTCTATTGTATGCTATTGTTACACATCAGGTAATTTTTTTTTTTCATTTAAAAAGTTAACATCTACTGAATTTTTAATACAAAAACTAATATTTGTTCCTGAAGGTACATAAAGTACAACATATGGAAAGTTTAAAGTGTCATATAAATTAAAGTCTAAAGCTGTAGAAGACTAAAATATATAACAGTTTTGATTTTTAATTGTTATCTTCTTTTTTTTTTTTCAGGATGAAGGTTGGTGCCAGCTAATGGCTTACAAATTAACAGATGTAATATTGGAAGAAAAGAATGGAAAAGTTAGGAAATAAGCTTCATACATTTGCACTGAATTTCTGTAGTGAAAATAGACCCCTCTCAGGCACTTTCACTACAACTTTTCTCCCTTGAACTGGAATTGTAATTGGAATCCACTGCATTTGAAAAAAGCAAAAAGGAAGTGGATCATCCCTTTTGTCTTTAAAAATTGGTTTCTGAAGCAAGCAAAGGCAGTTGGTAGCATCACAATTACTTGCTGTTTGGTACATGCAGCTGGCTCCTTATTTTGCTTCTCCATAGTGCTAAATGTTTCACCTGTTAAAGAACATGTTGGCCACCTGAGTGTGGCATAGTTTGGATTGTGGGTTTTAGCTGCAGGTGGCAAGAGAGCCTGTTTAGATGCCTGCTTACAGGCTTCCCTCATGAAGTGCATAATGTTAGTCTTCAAACCCAAATGTAAAGATGCCAGACTCTAAAAGGAATGTTGTAGGTTCTTGATGTGACCTTTCTTCAGATTTAGTCTTCATCTACAGATTTTTGTTGAAGTGAGAATCTCTTCAGATAAATCCACCTTTTGTTCCCAGGCTTCTTTCTATAACTTCGGTTTCTTTTTACAAATTTGATATATAGTGTGTCCCCTAAGAGAAAAGGGTGAAGTGTGTGAATTTACATGGGGTTCCAGAGATGTTCAGAATCCTGTTTCTTTCCCTACAATCAACTCGCACTTTATAAGAAGTAAGCAATAAGATCAAAAGTGTATTCCATAGCAAGTTCTCCAGTCCAGACTATTCCCCGCTCTCTTCCCTTCCATTCCCTCCCCCTCCCCCCACACACACATAATGGGGGAGATCAGGGACCCATCCATATACTAATTTTAAACTACACTTTGGTCCTATGCACTAGACCTCAGCTACGAGTCCTGCTGATTTTTTTGGCAATGAAGTAGCAAAAAGAAAGGTTAAGAATGTTGGAACTGTGAAAACGATCTCTTATTATTTCTCGTTAGGGAAAACGAGCCTTGCAGCCTGTCCCAAGGGGCACACTGAGGCTATTGTGATCCAAGTGTCTCTCTCTAATCTGGTAGCTTCGGAATCAGGTTTCTCTGAAAGGCCAAGAAGGAATATTTAAGGAGAGGGATGGGCAGTGACTAGGAGATTTTGGAGTCACATTTCCCATCAAAGGTGTCTCTCCTTTGACGAGGTGCTTTGAAATGTGTAACTATTTAAGTATCTCTCACATTCAGTCATAGATGAGACCTTCAAATGCAGGTTCCACAGGGAAGGAAATGACGAAAGGAAGGGAACATAAGACCGAGGAAGGACACTTGTGTGGTTAAACTACAGGAGGAATAGAGAAATGCGGGTGTTTCCAACTCTGCTTTTGGCTCTACCGCACATTAT